AGAACTCACCGTTTGTCGCAGTCGACTTGTGAGCACAGGTTCGAAGGATTGCGACACCTAGACATACACACTGCACGTGCTGCGCGGCACTCGCAGCGTACGGTACCGTACTGTCGTTCCCGCCCGGCAGGTGCGCTGGCGAACTCCTGCCTCAGAAGTGAGAACCGAGGGCATGAAGTGTCTTGCTAACTTATGACTTTCCGATGGCCGTTGTTGGCCACAGTGGCTGCCAGTACATGCGCAGACGTGCCGGCACTCCCCTGAACACCTACTCTGGATGAATCGTGTATTTGAAACGGCCGAAAACCACATGGTCGACAAGTGAGGTGTTGCTGCGGTTTATTTCATCATACGCGGCAAAAGCGCCATAAACAATATTGACTACAGGTATCATATGCGGCGAAAGCGCCACCAACAATATTGGTTATTGGACTGAATTTAGAACATGAAATGGCCACTAAGGATGATCCAGGCTCAGTTTGACCAGGCTTTGGAGGGTTTTGGGAGGTCAAAAGGAATCCCTCTGGCACTGGAGTGTCTGGTGACATGTTTTTAAGCTCTTGAACTTTCGAAACACGATTATTGGATCGCCCCATAGCATACCAAAACTCCCTTGCTGGACTCTTACGACGCTAAACGTTAAACGCTTACAATGGAGCCACAGAGAACATGGAATGGCTCGGAGTCCATTTACCCCTGACGGTCGTCTAAAACAGCCTCGTAGAAACTCTCGCTAAGCTTCATGAGGCTGTTTTATCTGTTTATTGGCGTCGATAAGGAAACGCAAGGTCTTTTTACGGACTGGTCGCCGGGCCTGCTGAGACGAGGTTGTCCACCAGATGGGATTTGGATGGTTGAGCCCCTGTGCTGGTTCTAGCGAGACCAGCGAATACCCGTGGGCTGCGGCGGCAGAGGCCCGGGGCGGAGCTTTGGGTGTGGTCTGTGGTCATGTCGCGGCTCGGGCGGGACCGTGGGCCGTGCTGGCCGGCTGCTGAGACCAGCCGCCGTGCCGGCGCGGCAGGGCCGGTCGCTGTGCTGGCTCTGGTGGCACCAGCCGCGGCGCTGGCTTTGGTGAGACTAGGGCCCTGCTTTCGGCACCAGTCAGCCCGACCGTTCTGTATTATATGTGGGTTAGAGAACAGTTAGTTAGACCTGGTTTGACCCAGTCTCAAAGTACCCAACCCGTACCTCAAATATGGCGCTGCTCTCATAAAACATGCGTCGCCCTAACTGGGGTACACAAGTCGCGTTATGCAGCATAAATGCCATGGTAACATATTGATTGGCTCGCAATGGAACCGACAGACTTGTTTCGAGACCAAGACTTTACTTCGCTTTTCGTCTTGGTTGTGTTTTTTCACTTGCTTTTTTGCAGACAGGGGCGCTGGCGTCAGTTTTTTCTACTACACTCTTTGTCTACTACACCCTTTGCATTCAATTCCTTTTAGCACGTTTTTGCCATTCGTTATGTTCTGTTGGAAAAGTTAAGTGTATGTTTCCTAGACAGCCTATGATAGAGTTATATCTCATTTTAGTTTCACTAATTGCTATGCTTATGTCCTGTTAACCACGACTTGACCATTCACAAATACCTAGCTGCTTGTTTTGCAGCCGCCATGTGAACTGTCGGCGAGCTCGGAGGGATGCACACGGCCCAGACTGTGCGGCAGACTTAGCGGGCTTGGTAACACATTCTGTGCTGGCACGAGCTCTTGCAGGTGGCACTGACTCTGAGTGACATAGACGCAGGCCGAAGTCCGCACGACGCGTGGGCTTCAACTCTGGGCTGTTAACGCGTTCAGAACGAGCATGCACCGTCACATACAAATCTTCGGGACATATCTCTCGGTCTGCGAGCTGATATTCGTGACACCAGACTGTTTGCCCCAAGTCCGCACCGGTCGTATCGCATGAGGATTTAGATAAGGGTTGATGGCTGATAGATATGCTGTGACGTGGTAATCTACGCAATCAAGCCTACAGTGTTCCAATTTTGTGAGCATTCAGCTCTGTTCGCACTTGCCACGCGTGGAAGGTTACTGATGTGGCACAACACAAATTGCCAGCGACTTCAGTGCAAGAACTGCGCCGCCTCTGTCTTGCGACATTCCCAGTCAATTAAAACGCGGATTTGTCCTGTCTAGCTTGGAAAGTTCATAGAGTGCTTGTTCTGCTGCCAGTGCATTCGAACTCGCATTTAAATTTGTATCCGTTTACATTCCGAGCACCTTTACTTTCAGCGAGCAGAAGTTCTCGCAATACGCGCGTCATGGGTGTTGATAAGGGCATAAGATCGCCACGGACATTTGAGCTGCGGTCCATAGTGTCGTTGCTCAACGGCGTCCAATTGCTTCTGTATTGTATTGCTTCTTGTCCAATTGTATTGCTTCTGAAAGTCAAAACAAATGCCGTGCTTGCATGGTGTGGTACTTTTGGTACACCATAATTGCAAGTAAAACTATTCATCGAGATATTTATTGCGCTACACATATTTGCGTAGGGCTAGACTAGATGCACATTCACGTGCCTGGTCTCTTAAAGTGATCAATTTCATCACAACTCGCAAATAGGTAATCGTTAGAATACAGCTGTTTGCTTGGAGGAACATGTAATTTACAATAAGAGTAACTTGTGGAAAATTTAGACAACGGCTATTTGAGTCAAACCAATGATTACATCCATACAACGGTGAACATCTGGGAGGCTGCTTATCTGAAGCTATATTCAGCCGTTTGAATACTGTTTAACTTCAGCACGAAGTTACTAACACACGCCATGGACAACTCGTTAGAATGGCACGCTTTAGGGGAGGCGGGCAAAGCGGCCCAGTCTGCTCCCAGACAAGCTAGATCGCAATGCCCAGGGAATAATATCCGGGGGATGATTTCTTGACTATTGGATCACGATAACTGTAGGTCAAGAGCTTGGGTTCAAACAACGGCAACTTAAAAAAAAAACGTGCATATCTGCAATCACAACGAAAGCGTTGAGTGTCAGATTTCAACCCAGTTAACAGCAGATGGCTAACAACTACGGATGCAGTATTGTTAGGGAGCAGCAGCGCTTGAGGGTGTAAGGCGATTGCTATCACTGTCGTGTCAAAGATAGCAGATCAGGCTCAGGTGAACAACGCCTATGTCAGCCGCAAGGTAACGCTAATAGACCAGGCTCAGGTGAACAACGTATGTCAGCCGCAAGGTAACATTAACAGACCAGGCTCAGGTGAACAACGTATGCAAGCCGCAAGGTAACGCTAACAGACCAGGCTCAGGTGAACAACGTATGTCAGCCGCAAGGTAACGTTAACAGACCAGGTTCAGGTGAACAACGTATGCCAGCCGCAAGGTAACGTTAACAGACCAGGCTCAGGTGAACAACGTATGTTAGCCGCAAGGTAAGATTAACAGACTAGGTTCAGGTGAACAACGTATGTCAGCCGTAAGGTAACGCTAACAGACCAGGCTCAGGTGAACAACGTATGTCAGCCGCAAGGTAACGTTAACAGACCAGGCTCAGGTGAACAACGTATGTCAACCGCAAGGTAACGTTAATAACTCGACGACACCGAGTTAATGGTGCATTTCATTCCGATAAAGGGTGAGATCTCCCGCACGCCAGCTCGCAGTCTGAATTCAGACGCGTCGAACATTGCCGACCCTGCTCCGCCTCCGTCCCATGCGTCCTTCCGCGAAAGGCGTGATCAGTTTCCGGCGGATGGCAACACGTGACGCGGTGTGGTCTAAAGTCCAACTTGGTGAGGGGGCAGCGTCGCGTATGCTCGTTCTTCAGTGTCACTGGCCAGTGATAATGCTGAGCAGGCATTCTGATTTTGCCAGCCTGTTGTTCGAAATGCCACCAGTCGATTTTTTACCAGACGTATCGTTCTCTTCTAAGTAGATACAACACAAATGCTATTCTGACAGCGTCCGATTGATATGATGTTAACCAAATAAGAGCATGCGACGGATTTCGCTCCCGTCCAGCTTGAATGCCCATTCTCCATTCCTATCTATCCATCTCCTCAAGCTCCATTTCGATCGTGTTGCATCCCAACAGAGATACCATATGTATATCAACCAGTGGACCCCTAACCCTCGCCCAGATGAGGGGGCGGGGTTCAACCCCCCCCCCCTACGGTTTTCTGGCATGCTTGCTGTAACATGTTTTCCAATCGCCCCCAAATTTTCGGTAGTTTTTGGAGAATTCATCGCACTTGGCTTAACACCGGAAAACTTGGTCCTTATATATTCTGGTTTCTGAGGGAATATTTTTTAGTAATGCTGCGCGGCAATCCACAACCGGCGCGGTCTGTTGTCGGCAATAGACGATTCCGCGAGCGCTCAAAGCACATAAAACTACCATCATCATACTCATAATTTAGTAACAAAAACACACCTTGTTCAAGCTATGCGCCACCGTGTGGCATGTTCTCGGACATATCAGAATATATAGCCGAAAACGCCCCGTTCGTTTCCAGAAGAAACCGCCCTTTTACCTGGTAAAGTGGGTTCATTTATTGTATCACCAATCGTGAGACCTTGTTCACGCCAATCCACTGTTCTTTTCGAAGGTCTGTCATATTGGTTTAGAAACAGCAAGGAGTCGCATCAACCTCCCCCCCCCCCCCCCCCACATCGACTTCGCCCTCGGCCATTGTCAAAATATTTTGATATGGCTGCCTCTTCTACAAAATGGCAGCACCAAGAAGCCTGGTGTCGAGCACAGTTGTCTTTTACTTCGTCTTCGTTTGCCTCACCACACCATATACCTGGCTTGTTGATATGTTCACGCAGCGTCGTGATGCTAAGCTACTTGGCTGCTGATCCCTCAAATGATCTGGCCATGATAGGCTGACATCAGCGCGGCACGTGCTGATTTCTGCTGCCTCTGCTGTGCTGGCCCCGACTGAAACCAAACGCTCCCCGAGCCCGAGTCTCTCACAGCCACAGCCCTATTTCATCACACTCCAGCTCAATACACAACTCACTGGTTGCAACTGTATGCCGCTGTGTCCTAACCAGCTGCACCACGGCAGAGATGAGGAGATACCCAACTGGAACATCTTCCGGACGGAGCCGATCGAAGAGGCGTCCGGCTCGGCCGTCGAGCACCCCATCTACAAGGCGTCCATCAAGATCCTGAAGGTTGTGGTGCACCTGCTGTCCTTCGGCATCGTGCTGACCGGCTGCGTCGTCGCCAAGGGCACCACGCTCTTCATGACGGCCCAGCTGAAGCCGGGCAAGACGCTGATCTACTGCGACAGGAACATCGGTGAATGCGATGACGGGGACGGGGGACGGTGAAGGGGTCAGCCGAGACAGATGGGTGCTGGATGTTGTCAAGCAGACCTGCTGCGTGTGTCCGGACAGCTGGCCTGTATTTTCCGTAGTACAGCTTGACGCCCCTGTGCCGATCCCCCCCCCCCCCCAGCATCCCGCGGGGTTAGACGCCTCAACGCCTCCCCCCCCCCCCCCGACATTTCGCGGGGTAAGACGCCCCGGCGCCGCTTCAGTGCTCCCCTGACATCTCGCGGGGTCATACACCCCGGAGCCGCCCTCGACATCCCGCGGGGTGAGACGTCTCGGCGTGTCCCACCCCCCACCCCCCGACATCCCGCGGGGTCAAACGCCCCGGCGTCGTCCCCCCCCCCCGGCATCCCACGGGGTAAGGCGCCCCGGCGCCGCCCTCCCCTTCCCCCTGGCATCCCGCGGAGTCAGAAACCTCGGTGCTCCCTCCGACATCCCGCGGGGTCATACAACCCGGTGCCGCCCCGGCATCCCGCGGGGTCAGACGCCGCCCTCCGCGACATCCCGCGGGGTCATACACCTGAGTGCCGCCCCGGTATCCCGCGGGGTCAGACGCCCCCTCCCCCGGCATCCCGCGGGGTCAGACGCCCGGCGCCGTCCCGGTGTCCCGCGGGGTCAGACGGCCCCTCCCCTGGCATCCCGCGGGGTCAGACGCCCCCCTCCCCGATATCCCGCGGGGTCAGACGCCTCAGTGCCGCCTCGGCATCCCGAGGGGTCAGACGCCCCTCAGGCATTCCGCGGGGTCAGATGCCCGGCGCCGTCCCGGCATCCCGCAGGGTCAGACGCCCCCTCCCCACCCCTCCCCCCCCCGACATCCCGCGGAGTCAGATGCCTCAGTGCAGCCCCGGCATACCGTAGGGTCAGACGCCCGGCGCCGTCCCCCCCCCCCTCCGACATCCCGCGGGGTCAGACGCTTCAGTGCCGCCCCGGTATCCCGCGGGGTCAGACGCCCCTGGCACCGCACCATTGACGGACACCTGCTCCACCAGGCCTGGGGCGGTCGTGGCGAGTCGAGATACCCGAGGTGGAACGAGTTGCTTGGGTCTGGTGCCTGTTCTTGGCGTTCGTGGTACCGGAGCTAGGCACCTTCATCCGGTCGGCCCGCATTTGCTTCTTCAAGGTGGGTCATGCCGTCAGCATCTTTTGAGAAATATCTCTACTCACGTTGGCTTAAAGTTATGTCACGTAATTTTTGGGGGGACATTTCAATCACGCGGCCACCAGCACCTCACTGTCATTCCGCAGGTCTATGATCCGTTCAGTACCTTTCAGCACTGCACACTCAGCCCAGCCACCTGAATCCCGCGTGTTTCCTGTGATACGCCGCTTCCGACGTCATCAAGCGCGATTCTGGTGCGCTCCCCATCCCGATGATTGTCTCATATTTTTATCCTTCTAAATTCTCAGCGGGCTTCTTGGGTCCGTAAAACGGGGAATTGATGCACTCAGGGATGTCACTTTGTATACCTTTGGGGGCATGAGTTCACCCCTCCCCCTCCCCCAATGCTGACTTGAGCCCCCTCAATGCTCTTCTGAACCTCCCCAACGCATATGAGCAAAGAAAGGGAATACTGGGTCCATGAAACGCAGCAAGTGTCGGAACTGCTGGTACCTTAGGTACCTAAGCGCATCACCATCAATATTATCATTATCATGTATCATAGCTATCCCTATCCCAACAGCCAAATGTAAAATCATTCCTCAGCATCGAAACGATTTTGAAACCGGTCAAGTTTTTTCTTTAATTTTGACATCAGGGACGCAAATAAGAGTATCCGAAGAAAGAGGTGAGGATTTGGGGTAGGTTAGGTCAGCTTGATTGGCTCAGCCCCCCCCCCTCTTCAATTGATTTTAGAACGTGACGCTCCTGGATGCACCAAAGATTGCAATGTCGTCCACAAAGGCAGGCATCCATATGCGCAGGTACAACGGATTCAAAGCAGGGACATGGCCTCTCTGCCTTTGGCAAGTGCAACTGGAATGGATTGTTTCAAACTGCAAACACGAATTTTGGTATCCTCTGGATCTGCGTTGCCATGGAAACGATGTAACTCGCCAGCCACGCCATGCGCATGGTTGCGTCGTCCCTTTCGCCCTATTTGCTGGCATGACATCAGGGGCAGAACATGACGTCATAGCTCCCTAGAAACCATTCCTCCAACCGTCAAGTGTTTACTGCTTGGTGTGCTTTCCTGGTCACCTTCCGTGTGACTGGCCAGCACTGAGCGTGTACAGACCTCTGCACACCGGGCGTGCTGCAGAGCTGGCGGTGGCCGGCGCTCTTGGAGGTGCTGACGGTGGGCCTGCTGGAGGGCCTGCACACCGTCGGCCTTGCCGTGCTGATGTTCGTGGCGCTGCCCGAGCTGGACTCGGTGCGCGCCCTCATGCTGACCAACTGCGTCTGCCTGGTGCCGGCCGTGCTGGGTGAGGGTCGGGCCGCACGCGGCGGTCACTGGCTGCGATCTGTCCACGGCTAGACACCACGCGGCGGTCACTGGCTGCGATCTGTCCACGGCTAGACACCACGCGGCGGTCACTGGCTGCGATCTGTCCACTGCTAGACACCACGCGGCGGTCACTGGCTGCGATCTGTCCACGGCTAGACACCACGCGGCGGTCACTGGCTGCGATCTGTCCACGGCTAGACACCACGCGGCGGTCACTGGCTGCGATCTGTCCACTGCTAGACACCACGCGGCGGTCACTGGCTGCGATCTGTCCACGGCTAGACACCACGTGTCCTCATGGGCTTTTTAGCTGATTTGTCCGATCACCCGGTCTGAACGAAGCGCTTACTGCTAACCACATTGTCCTGCGATTAATTCAGTCCCACGCTTGGAGCAATGCCTCCTCCAACAGGCGGGCCTCGCTTGGGTGAATGTGAAGGTTGAATGAATATGTGGCTGACTCCTGTCCGTGTCCAGTGTGGTGTGTTATGATCGGCATTGCGTCGGTTGGCGGCGTTGCGTTACGATGGTTGGGGAGCACTCAGCGCATCTGTGATAACCTTAACATTTCGAACAGATAACTTAACGCACAACGACCACCATCGGAACACTGGTGGTGCAGAGTCGCGCTATCAAAGCTGATGCGCGTTACGCGCTATGATGATGCCTGATGGGCGTTATCTTGTTCGCGGCAGGGATGGTCTCCCGCCGTGCCGAAGACCACTCTGACGACTACAGAACACTTAAGTTGTTTCTGGACGCCGTGGCGATCATCCTTCAACTAAGCGGCTGCGTCCTTTGGCCGGTCATGGAAGGCATGAATGGGAACACCTGCGGCCGCCTGGGCCATCCCGACGGGGCTTATTCTCACGTCGTTTGGGTGGTGGGAAAACTACGTCGTGAAGAAGCGTCCAGTTGCGAAACCGAGAAAGTCCGAAAAATACACCATTTTTGAAGTGGACTTGTCAAAGGAAGACGGGGCGCAGAAGGCACAGGCCCGGGTTGGTAAGTCTTCTTTTAGGATAAGGGATAGTTAATTATGTTCATTTCATGTCGGTATGTATGCACATGAAGATACAATCCCAAGCTCAGTCCGTTCCAGGCGTTGAGTCTCCGTTAGTGTGTTGCCGATCAATGCCAGTAAAGATCAGCGATGATCATGAACCTTTTTTGTTTTCTGTAATTTTCAACGGCTTTTGCCACTGCTGGAGGAGCCCAACAGTTTTTCATTCTCATACATAGGACGGTAGTAATAGCCGTAATAACGATAGACTTCTGCTACTGCTTCGATAAAGGCATGTTGCCGGAATATCAACCCATGTATATCTCCATTCTCCTGGTTTTTCTCCAAGGGACAAGGCAATTACTACCGTCTTATGTATGTGAATAGTGCTCCTCGCAAATGCACTGAAGAGCTTGGGTTTTTCATTCTGATAACAAAAACAGTAAACCAAAGCAGTGCGAAAGCAGCCAGTCGCTCTCTCTGTACACCTGACATTGCTTTTTCTCAGGTTCTGTTTCATTACAACCGTGCATGTGTCTGTTGTTGCTACAGGTTTTCTGACATTCCTTGGCAACATCAAGTACCGCATGTCAAAGACCCGCTACATTATCTACCTATTTGTGTCTCTCTGGAAAATTGCACTCTTCTTCGGCATGATGGTTCTTCTGATGTCGACTCGATTGGACGATCCCATGAACCTCTTCACGGAGATGAAGTCCGGCTTCGCGAACCACACGCTGGTCATCAACGAGGTACGCGAACTGCATTTGTGTCACCAAAGTAAACTTTTCCTCGCATACGAATGCATTGTACAGCAATCGCATACTCCGGCGAGCGAATTATCCCGTCTTTTTTGTACCACTTTAATTATATTGCCGCAGGCAATGCAACGCTGGACGCCTTTACCACGTCTCGTTCCGCATCTCATCGCGAAACGCAACGAACTATATTACCCAAAGGAGAGCCGCGTCATGTCTGCCGCCTCTGGAAAAGGGTGGTGCATTCTGAGAATGTCATTTTCAGACCGGAGGTTCCTTGGAGAATTCCCACTCGGATGCGACGGATTTCTCGACGAACTTCATGCAAACGACGACCATCATCTCCTCGGTCGCAACACCGGCTTACGTGTGGCTCGTACAGCTGTTCGGTGCCTATTTGGCTTACATCACTGGTAAGCAATAGACCGTTTGCATTCATTGTATATCAAGGCTGTCTCATGCGTAGGTTTGACGAGAACACGGTGAGCACACAGGTCCACGTCCTTAGCAGGCATCCATTCTCATTCCGTAGCCATATCTGTTCACTGGGATGGTATTCAGAATAAAATGCTTTCATCGTTCTTTTACACATCTTTGTTGGTCGTGAAGCATAGAGGAGAAAACGGCGCATGGAACCTTAGCACACATGATTCAATGAAAACACGCATTTCACTCATGATTCTCGGTACGTGACAGGTCGTACGTAGCCAAACAACAGCTGACTGATTTCATTCTCTGCCAACCATCGCGGAGCCTCGCTAATCCTAGCCATTCGTAACGCCTGCAGGCAAATTCGCCTGCAAGATCTGGATCCAGACGTTCAGCTTCGCGCTGCCGGTGAGCCTGGCGGTGCCGTGCAGCCTGTCGCTGATGCTGCTGCTCTGTGGTCTGCGCGCCGACGACGCCTGCTGCTTCCATGGAAAGCTGCCGCCCTACCTTTTCTTCGAGTGCCCGAGGGCCGACTACATCGACTCCTTCCTGGCGGAGGATGTGAGTGGCGGCGCGCGGGGTCTGTCCACTGACGTGATTTCTTTGTTTGACAGGTTGGCGCGTACCCCCACAAGACTCACCGACAGTGGCTGTGGTAAAGAGTGTTGAGAAACAGAGGCTGTCGGGCGTACGGAGGCATGGTGGAGGGTATTACTCATGGTTCGCTGAGTGCAGGACGCTGGGCAGGGTAGACAAAAATTTTAGAGAGAGTGGGGGGGGGGGGGGCAAATTGATACCACATAGTGATGGTCAACCATATGCACACGAAACACAACTTGGAAGAAAAGGATAATCAAGTGAAAAGTGAGGCTGAGAAAGCAGTATCTGCTTAATGAGCCGGGACGGCCAATCTGTACCGATACATCTGACTCGAAGTGTCTATGTCAAGTTAGTCCCGTGAGACAAGCAGCATCGCAAGCAAGCTAAGCAGGCGCTGGCTTGAGCAACAGCTGCCGACACCGTTTAAGTTCTCATCTATGTTAGGACGCCAGCACGGGTCAGGAAGGTGGGTTGGGACGCTTCGACACGAGCTTCCGAAGCCGAGCGCGGCGCACCTGGTACGCCGGAGGGCGCTCGGCGGGTCTCAGTGGCTCGTCTCCGACGCGTGACGGTACGGCTGTGACGCCTCTCCGCCTGTGTTCCAGTGCGTCTGGCTGTGGGTGCTGTGGCTGTTCTCCCAGGCGTGGATCACGATGCACATGTGGACGCCGCACTGCTTCCGCCTGGCGCCCACCGAGGTGCTGTTCGTCACGCCCATGTACAACTCGCTGCTGATCGACCAGTCGCTGGCCATGAACCGACGCCGTGACGACGACCCTGATCTCTCCGCTGAGGCGAGTGCCGGGAAACGCCGGGGTGCGGCCAGTGACGGGTGCTGGGTGCTGGCCGGGGTGCGGCCGGTGAAGGGTGATGGATGCTGGCCGGGGTGCGGCCGGTGACGGGTGCTGGGTGCTGGCCGGGGTGCGGCCGGTGACGGGTGCTGGGTGCTGGCCGGGGTGCGGCCGGCGACGGGTGCTGGGTGCTGGCCGGGGTGCTGGGTGCTGGCCGGGATGCTGGGGGCCGGCCTGCACGATTGGATCTTGGGGTGGTTGGTGGACTTGGATAGCTGGTGAGGAGGACCTTGTGGGGTTATCGTCGACTGGGTTGCTCGAGTGGTGAAGCTCTCGAACAAGCTCGCGAGCTCAAGGGCAGGGGTGCAGCCAAGGGAGGGGCCTGGTAGGGTAAGCCCCTCCTTAGGCCCGGTTTTCCGTTTCTTACCATAGAGAACTCCTGACGTAAGGTGAAAAGTTGTCATGATGCGTACTCACCAGTCTTCAGGCCCCTCCACGAAGAAAGTTTTTGCTACGCCCCTGCCCACAGGAGCAAGTGATGGCTGACTGTCGCGAACAAGTTCTATTCGTGATAAGCTGTACAAAGATGCTACGCGTGTTTGAGAATGCGATTTCATGATTTTCAGGTCGGTTTTTGATGCGTCTCTCCATGAAATTATGCGCATAGAACGTGAAAGAAACTACGTAGTATATAAAGGAGATCACAATCTCACACTCTAGCTGCTCTTCAATTGCGAATGACCGATTGCGGTGCCTAATCCTCGTGGCGATAACTCTGGATCCTCTCCGCAACAGGACTTTGATATTGATGCGGACCTGGATGGCGGCCCGAAGAACGGTGTGGACTACATCTCAACTCACTCGGAGGCCTCGGGCTCCAACTCGAGCGCACACCATAGCGACTCCATCACGCGGATCCTGGCCTGCGCCACCATGTGGCACGAGGAGAGGAACGAGATGCTACTCATGCTGCAGTCGGTGGCCCACATGGACTACGACCAGTCGGCGCGGCGCTGCATGCAAAAGTACCTGCGGATTGTCGACAGCGACTACTACCACTACAAGACGCACATCTTCTTTGACGACGCCTTCCAGATCTCGGACGACGAGACCGAGGAACAGAACGAGATCAATCGATACGTGCGCCAGCTGATCGAGTGCATCGACGTGGCGTGCTCGAACGTGCACGGCGTGGAGATGACGCTGCCGGCGCCGACCAAGACGCCGACGCCGTACGGCGGACGCCTGGTCTGGACGCTGCCGGGCAAGACCGAGATCGTCGTCCACCTCAAGGACAAGTCGCTGATCCGGCACCGCAAGCGCTGGAGCCAGGTGATGTACATGTACTACCTGCTGGGCTTCAAGCTGATGGAGCAGGACATCGCGGTGGAGAGGAAGGAGGTGATCGCCGAGAACACCTACCTGCTTGCTCTGGACGGCGACATCGACTTCATGCCGGATGCTGTCAAGCTGCTGGTCGACTTGATGAAGAAGAACCAGAATCTAGGCGCCGCGTGTGGACGCATCCACCCGGTGGGCTCGGGCCCGATGGTGTGGTACCAGCTGTTCGAGTACGCCATCGGCCACTGGCTGCAGAAGGCTACCGAGCACATGATCGGCTGCGTGCTCTGCAGTCCCGGCTGCTTCTCGCTCTTCCGCGCCAAGGGCCTGATGGACGACAACGTGATGAAGACGTACACAACGCCGGCCTCCGAGGCGCGCCACTACGTGCAGTACGATCAGGGCGAAGACCGGTGGCTGTGCACGCTGCTGCTGCAGAGAGGCTATCGGGTGGAGTACTGTGCTGCATCTGATGCGTACACCCACGCCCCAGAGGGCTTCAACGAGTTCTACAACCAACGCCGCCGCTGGGTGCCCTCCACCATGGCCAACATCCTGGACCTGCTGAAAAGCCACAAGAGGACTGTCAGGGTCAACGACAACATCTCGACACTCTACGTCCTGTATCAGGTGTGCGATATTTGCTGTGTGTTGACGCTTCTTAACAGCGGTTCATCCGTGGAGACGGTATTCAGCTCCGCAGCAAGCACCTTTGGTGGCAGTGTGCAGGGACTGTCAAACGTACGTTAAGGAGCGCCAAATTGCCTTTTAAACCTGCCTTTGATAACGGTTCATTGGTGTTATGAACGTGCATAACGAAAACGGATCACGCACTCGCCATAAAGATGGTAGAATAAATGATTCTATTCACTGGATCTCCCACATCAAGTAGCAGCACAACTCAGCGTTGCCTCTCTCAGTTGTGGGTTCATCCCGCGGTGGGCTTAAAATGATCCCCATGAGCCACCCCACTCTGAGTGTAGAAAAACAATCTATGTGTTGGAAACCCCCTTCTAATCACTGTGATGGCTGATCACTGATCGGCGCCAGGTGATGCTCATGGTCGGCACCGTACTGGGCCCCGGCACGATCTTCCTGATGCTGATCGGGTCGTTCAACGCCGCGTTCGGCATCAGCAACTGGTACTCGCTGCTCTACAACGCCATCCCTGTCGTCATCTTCATGGCCGCCTGTGTGACGGTGAACTCAAAGATACAGGTGACTAGAAATCCTGCGATTTTTGCAAGGATAAATTACCAGTCAGTAGAAATGCGCAGTAATTATGCTGTTGCAAGGGAGCTTCGGAAGCGTGACATTATTTACTTTGATCTTACGTAATTCGCTAAAAAATTTTCCTTGCTTCCCAAGTGCTCGCAGTTCTCTACAAGCATGACGTCACTTCACTCTCTACTGCACCGGATCCTGTGTTGTACGACAGGCCAGACTCACCACGGCATGGGTATAATACACCGTTTATAGTTACACATTGCCTGCTATCGGATTGCACACTGTGTGTCTTCGGAACGAATGCCATCTTGCTGATTACAGCTCCGTCAGTCGTCCATGATGGCAAGGGCAGGTGACGAGAGCGTTTGTTTTCAGTTGCTGATAGCCCAGCTCCTGACAGCCGTGTACACGATTGTCATGATTGTCATGTTTTCAGTTGCTGATAGCCCAGCTCCTGACAGCCGTGTACACGATTGTCATGATTGTCATGTTTTCAGTTGCTGATAGCCCAGCTCCTGACAGCCGTGTACACGATTGTCATGATTGTCATGTTTTCAGCTGCTGATAGCCCAGCTCCTGACAGCCGTGTACACGATTGTCATGGTCATCGTCATCGTAGGGCTGGCGCTGCAGTTCGCCGAAGAAGGCATGGAGTCACCCACGGCGATATTCTTCATTGCCACCATGGGCAGCTTCGTCCTTACTGGTTTGTAGCTTGTATAGCTGCTCCTTACGGACACTACACATTCGGAACTCAAATGCCCTGTAAGCTTAACACTTCCGTACTTCCGTCATCATTGTTGTGCGTTCGCATTGTCTGGCCATTTGCACGCTGTCCACAACTTTCATACGCATGCTCAGCCACTGCTCGCTGGCATCGGCAAAACTTCTTCGCAAACCGAAGAGGAGTCGCGTCGAAAACCGCCTCATCGAGCGACGCAGCGCTGCGTGCTTCATCTCTGACCTGGCGCCTGCCTCGAAGGCTCGGCTGACATAACGTCACTGATGATGACGTCACTGATGCTGCAGCGGCCATGCATCCACTGGAGTTCTACTGTCTGCCCGCCCTGGTCGTCTACTACATCACCGTGCCCAGCATGTACTTCCTGCTGATTGTCTACTCGTTCACCAACATGAACAACGTCACGTGGGGCACCCGCGAGGTGGCAGTCAAGACCAGGAAGAGTGACGCGGTCAGTAGCCGCGGGCAATAGGGGGCGGCACAGAATCACTAAGGCCTTGCGTGGCTTCCAAGAATAATGCCCTGATCGTAACTAAACTAAGTTACGGGAAGACGCGCATTTCTATGCATTTTTATGTGTGAATGGAGGGCAGTTTTAAATGATGTTTGCTAGGGTTACACACATCGTCGCTAATTGATGCAATCCCCCACGATATCGGAAGGGTGTGTGGATGTTGGAGTCAGATGAAGATTTCCCCTCACTCGCATTGAGCCCTGATGAGGTAGAATACAATCACGACGCCATAAAAGATGCATTAGAGCGAGGAGGATTCACATCTCGCAGCATAGCCTCCAAATGGTAGCGTTTTAAGCTTTATGTCATCATGAGCGTTATTGTCGCTGCTAAATCACCATCTGCGTAAACGAAATTTCCAAATCAAATGCTCCGATGCCAAGAACTTGTTCCGAACGTACAAAAATGTCCAGCACATCACATGAATCGGCTGGCCCGGGCATTTCCTTTACATCAGGACACTTAAAACGCACGTGGCCAGGCGTCGCGTCCAACTCTAGACAACTCTGCTCTCTGCGTCTGCGCTCTACAACTCTGCGCTCTTTAGTAACATCGCGTTTTAATCTGTGAGGCGAATGAACATGTTATAGGGTTTGCGTTATTCCTGAGCAAATCCCGCTGCTCGCATTAAGTGACCTGTGATAAAACAGATACCAATAAGTGATTGGCTGTGGGGTATTCACAGTGTTTGTGCTCACACACACATACAGCGCGCGTTATCACTTATTTTTGTATTCCATCCTTGGAGCACACGCCATGACATGTATGTGGCTCTTGACACCACCTATCCATAACATGTGTGAGGCTTCTGGGTACAACCTGCAAGCACTAACCCAGAATGTGACGCGCTGGCAATGTCACGGCCGCCTTGCAGGACCTGGAAGCAGAGAAGAAGGCGCTGGAAGCGGCCAAGAAGCAGCCGGGTGGCATCCTGGGCTTCCTCTACCAGTTCAACACCACCGCCAAGGACGACGACGGCTCGGTGGACTTCTCACTGGGAAACGTGTTCCGCTGCATGTGCTGCACGCACCCCAAGGAGATCAACGAGCGTGAGCAGCTGAAGCGCATCGCCGACTCCATTGACAGCATCAACAAGCGGATGGACTCGCTGGAGGGGTGGGTTGCCCGGCCGGAGTGAGGCTGTATGTTGTTACATATGTTGTCCCATTCTTGTTGTTGTCTGTGGTTTAGGGGCATGTCGACCATATGGTCACTCAGCGCCCCACCGTCGTCACGAACACCATCACGTGTATCGTCAAGCACGCGGTAACGCATGTCGTCATGCATGTCGTCACGCACGGCGCAGCGCTCACGCCAAGCGCCGACCCGTGACGTGACGTTGAATGTGCTACGTGATGCCCTGCGTGACGGGTGCGAACGCTGGTGTGACAGGACCGGTCTGCAGCGCCTCCGCAGCACCAGCCGCAGCTCGGCACGTGGGGGGAGGATGAGCCCCGTCAGGGGGCCGGACGACCCGGAGGAGAGGAGGGACGAGCCCAGCGCCGGGCTGGCCGACTCTGGTGAGTGGAGGGACGAGCCCAGCGCCGGGCTGGTCGACTCGGGTGAGCGGAGGGACGAGCCCAGCGCCGGGCTGGTCGACTTGGGTGAGCGGAGGGACGAGCCCAGCGCCGGGCTGGTCGACTCGGGTGAGAGGAGGGACGAGCCCAGCGCCGGGCTGGTCGACTCGGGTGGGCGGAGGGACGAGCCCAGCGCCGGGCTGGTCGACTCGGGTGAGCGGAGGGACGAGCCCAGCGCCGGGCTGGTCGACTTGGGTGAGCGGAGGGACGAGCCCAGCGCCGGGCTGGTCGACTCGGGTGAGAGGAGGGACGAGCCCAGCGCCGGGCTGGTCGACTCGGGTGAGCGGAGGGACGAGCCCAGCGCCGGGCTGGTCGACTCGGGTGAGCGGAGGGACGAGCCCAGCGCCGGGCTGGTCGACTTGGGTGAACGGAGGGACGAGCCCAGCGCCGGGCTGGTCGACTTGGGTGAGCGGAGGGACGAGCCCAGCGCCGGGCTGGTCGACTCGGGTGAGCGGAGGGACGAGCCCAGCGCCGGCTTGATCAACTCGAGCGAGCGAAGTCAGTACGGCCGGCCACGGCCTCCTCGCTCACGCGATGGGCCGGCGTGGCTAGGGCAGTGTCGTTAGATAGGTTGCGAGGGCTCCGAGCCCTTTTTGATGAAAAGTTGCCCCGGTGTTTGTGAATATATCTGGTGCGCATAACCGGAGAGATGAGTTGATGACTTCCAGCACCGTGCATTGCAGTGTAGATGTCACGTCTTGTCCGCTGTTTGGATGTCAAAGGGCTTATCTCTTAATGTCGTCGAGACGCAAAACACAATGTGGCACTAATATTTGCGTCACTATCAGAGCCGTGAAAGTAGTGTAGGATGTGCTTACGTAACGCCCTTGTGCTGACCACTTCCTCACGCTTTTAGGCCAGGTGCATATGAAGAAAAGGGACCTGCTGAAGAACCCGCTGTGGGTAGAAGACAAACTGTTCGCAGGCAAGGGCAGCATGGATTTGCTATCGCAAAACGAAATCGAATTCTGGGAGCAGCTGATCAAAACCTATCTGTACCCGCTGATTGAAAACAAGGAAGAAAAGGTAAGAAAAAATATGCTGCTGGCCTCAAGTGAGCACTTCGTAACATGAAAATTTTTGACTAGCAGAAGCGCATAGAAAGTGAGCCTTCTGGCGAACTTGTTGGCACAGGGAGATGGAGGCTCGGTCACTAGGCAGGATTACGCCCGTTATGACACGGTCGTGTGCCGAGTTCGACCGCATGAAGGTGCCCTACTTGGTAGTCTTCCCATGGCTGAGCAGTCGTCACCCGTCCATTTACCTGAGGCAATGAGGCTGGGCGACTGTTTCAGGCACGCATCGCGGCAGAACTGGACCAGCTGAGAACCACCGTCTGCTTCTTCTTCATGATGGTGAACGTGCTGTTCGTGGTAGCCATCTTCATTCTGGAGACGCACCAGGATGAGCTGCACCTGAACTGGCCTTTGGGCGCGAAGAACACCATCTCGTTCAGCACAGATACTGTGGGAAGAAAGGTGACCTCGCGCCGGCCGTGCACCGTCATTGTACACCGCGCCTTGCACGCTTTGCGAGGATGCGGCGAAACGAGCTGGTGTTGGCTGCTGATAAGACCACGATGTGCTTCCTGCAACTGCTGCATGTTATGGAAGGCAGTCCGTGAGCATGTGGCATCCTGGCAGAAACACCGGGGAGACTCGACCCCCCAATGTAAACGAAAGACTGCCCAAACCCTAGCCATCGTTACACCGAGGCCCGCACCCAGCCTTGGCACCCAGCTGTATGGTGATCATCACCGGACGGGCCTTGTTATCATCTCACCAGACGAGGGCTCACACAGGGCCCCGTGTTATCACCAAAACGTGACACACTGAACTCGAGCGCAGAGATGCATCAGGTGCCGCGCGGGAAACTGCATCAAGCGGCCTAATGATGTAGTTCAAGTGATGCTTGTTGGGTCAGACAAGGAGGGCGAGTAAATTGGATACATTTAGCCACCCTGTCTGTGCTCAGAACGAAGCGTTTTGGAACAGTGAGGTTAATGGTGGTGCTTTCGCCTCTGGCACACCGAACAACGCACTGGTCGCAGTCTATCATCGGGCGTAACATAGGAAATGTCAAAGCGCACAACTACATATGCGGCAGACAACGAAACAGGTGTCATAAGTCTTGTAGAATTGCATCGAATTTCTGGTTGCGACCAAAGGCATGATAAAGCAGCTCACACAAAAGTAAAGCATCTATCTCACAAAGACCTTGCCAGCATTTTCCGCACTTGACCCAGCTTGACCCTGGATGATATGACATAAATGTACCCGATAGAACTACATCAGCATAAAGCATGACGGGATAGAACAAATTATAACAGTATTTTAGCAGCAGTAAGTAAGCCCTCGAGCATAAGTGTTCTAAGACAGAAGGTGCGGTATCGGCCGCCTCGCCACCAAATGCGAATGATACTGGCTTGACAACGTAGTCATCGCTCGTGATCTATAAACGCAGTCTTCAGGGGGCGCTGTCCGAAGAACTGTTGGGCCGCTGTTCGGATAACTGTTGGGCCGCTGTTCGAAGAGTTTTGGGGCGCTGTTCGAAGAGCCGTTCGGCGAGCTGTTAGGGCGCGGTTCGGAGAGCCGTTCGTAGAGCTGTTAAGGTGCCGCAATGCTTGGTTATCGTTCCGTTGCAGCATGTTTGCGACAGGCTCGATGGCACGCAAGAGTTGCCTGGCGCTTTTACATTGTTATGCGTTATTTTACATTATTACATCATTACTCAAGCGTAACGATGGAACAGCGTTGTTATAACGATAATGTTATCCTTTTCTAGATACAGATCAGCCAGACCTATCTTCAGCTGGAGCCCATCGGCTTCGTCTTCGTCATGTTCTTCGCGCTGATCCTGGTCATCCAATTCACCGCTATGATGTTCCACCGTTTTGGGACCATATCGCAGATCCTGTCGCTAGTCACATTGTCCTTGTGCGGCGGAAAGGTGAGCTGATTGCCCGTCAGCAAGTCACTACTTGTGCACATCGCCAGTACCGTGCGCGGTTACATGGGAGTGCCATGACATCGGACTGACTTATGGTTTTGACGTTCTCTGATTGTCACGAGGCAGCCTTCGGGAGGTTTATTACCGACATATTAACACTTTGCACCGTGTATTGCCGTTCAAAAATTCCGGTATTATTAAACCTTTTTCAAATCGCATTGGACGCTGAACTTAACTTGCCGACTCCGCGGGACGGCACGACCTCCTCTGGCCGAACAGATCGGCTGGACGTGACTGCCATCTGTTGCCCACCACAGAAATCACGGTCGGGTGAAGACCTGCTGCGGGAGAACGGACTGCAGATGGTGCGCGACATGCAACGAATGAAGAACCGCAAGGACTCGGAAGAGTCAAACCGGCCGCAGCGGCGCCAGACCGTCAGCCGACTGGTCCACGAGCGCACCAAGTCCAAAAAGCTCACGTTCTCGCTGGACGACAACTTCATTCAGCACTACGACGAGACGGCCAACAATATGGACGATGCGGGTAGGCAGGTTACGATGGCCAACTTAAATGGATGATGCCGAGACAGATGCACTCTGCGCGGGCTGAAGGAGTGGGCGTGGACAGACCCAAGTTGAAGAACCCAGGGATGCAGCGTAGCGAAAACCATCAAGTTCACGGACGGCGTTGAGTGTAGTCAGCGGCATTTCCTCTCATGCCGAGGCAAATCAATAAGACTCTACCGAACTGACGTTTATCCATGCCGAGTCTGGCCCGTCAAGTCGTTTTCCAATCTAACTTTTATTCTTGTAGATTTTTACCCGTTTCGACTTGTCCGAGTCATTTTTAATTTCTGTCGACATTTTGTCCTTCGAAGTAATTTCCAATATTGTTACTCCCTTTGATTTTTTCGTCGCGTTTTTTCCCACTTGACTTTGCCCCGTACGACCAGTTGCCCTTCGAGTTCTTTCCGATTCGAATTTTATCCGAGTCGAATTTTGTCTATGTTAATTCTTTAATCTCAGAATTTTTCCGATTGGGCTTTTGGCGCCGATAGCTTTTGTCTATTTCCACTACACTCGTCCGGCTTTTTCCATTCGTCTTTTTGTCAGAGAACTGGGTCAAGCGACAGCTAGCCAGAACTAGCGCATCAGACTGCAGCCAATAGTCTGTTACCAATCAGAGCCCAGCTATTCTGACCGCAGTCAATAAGAGTTCGGTGTGGCAGACCACCACCAATCAGGATGCAGTGCGCGATGCCGCAGCCAATGAGCGCCAATGACACCCATTCCCGCCCGACAGCACCGTCTGGAGGTCGCGCCTCCCGGATGAGCAAGCGGCGGGCCACGATGAAGGCCATGGTGAGCCGCCGGCAGTCTGTGATGAACGAAC